ATGAGCTTTTAAGGTATAAATACTCCTTGCAAAAGGCAAAGCGGGTATGCAACAACAAACTCTCTACTACAATACATTTTTCTCAGTGTTTTCTCCTTCCTCTCTCTCACTCAAAGACTAACTAGACCGTCGGAGGGGATACGCCGGAAAACACTCCTGCGCCCTTCTAACTTGTTCTTCTTTGTTTCAGGAACCTCTTTCAGCCTTACAGGACCGTCCTTCCTCTCCCAGGGTCTCCCGTTGCCGTTCCAGGTTATCACCGTACCTTGCAGGCCGTCCCAAACAGCGTGTTTGGTCACTCAACCGGGTCATTCAAAGTTCACCAAAGGAGAGATCTGTTCTCGTTTTTTATATCGTGCAGGATCTTGCCCGCACAATTTGTTTTCAACTCTTTCTTCTGAACGGAAACAAACCCAGCTAGACAATAATAATATTATTGTCCACACCTCACCCAGCTTCAGCCCTAAAAAAACTTTTACTCAACTCCACAGCCCTGCCTTATTGACTAACTAATTTAGATAATTGCCTGGTTGACAACGCCCTTATCGTAGGAGAATAATGCTAGACCCAAATAAAATAAAATAAAAAATTAAATCTATTAGTGCTTGTATGATGGTACTTGATTCCATTTTTACTCATTTATTATTTAAAATTTTGTAATCTCTTATCCTATTTTTTTGGATAGTATAGTGTTACAGTTTCTCTTGAACCTCACTCAAGAAAAAAACTCTTAATGTGCTCTTTGTTAGTGAAGTGTTTTTAATGTTAGTTTGCTGGAAAAGTCTACAGTACCCTTTTTTATTGGGCAGCAGTATCATCGGTTACTATTTTTTATGATAAAATTACAATTTTAAAAAGAAAAGTTATAACTGTTCAAGTGAAAGTCATGTTCAAGTGAAAGTCATGATCGATTACAGAAACTCATGATCAATTATAATTTCTCGGTATCAATTCCAACCTTTTATGATTGATCATGCTCTTTAAAATTAAAACTTATACCTCAAAAAAATTATAATTTTCGATATGATATGATCAAAAATATTATAGCCTTGCCCTAGTTTGCAGTATCAAGTTTATTCTTTGGCAGGCGGCGCCAAAACTTTCAAAATTGGCATGCGAAATGATAGAGGAATCAATCATCAACTTAACGAGCTACATGTGCGAGTTTTGTATTGACTTTTGGCTTGAAGGGCACAAGCTTGTCTACTATCGCAAAACTCAGTTTCAGAAATCGAAGGGAGATGGTCAACTTTTGATGAAAAATCACTCCACCCACATACTTTTTTTGATTCCTAGTTACAATGTAATAGTTTCACATTTAATATTACGAATGTAAATATATGAAAAAAATGAGTTTGATGATCAATGAAAAAAATAAAAGGAATTATTATGAAATCGGGTTACAAATGTAGTTTATTGAAAGATATGCATTGATTCGAGGCTTATTTTGTATAGTATATATATGATGAAACTATTATTCACACGAGATAATGTTTTGAACGATCATTAGATCATATCACAAATGAGAGAATAAGCGAGACGATGCTATGATAACAATCTAATTTTTACAATGTTAAGTAAGATTTTGATATGTTTTGTATGGCTAAGTTTTGTCATTAAGTACGACTTGGTGAAAAATGACGTTGAATAAAATTCTTCGCTATTACCAATAATTTGGCTCCCTGCATGATGAAATCCTGACTTAGTTCCTGGCCCAGTGTGCGACTCCCACTATTGCAGGACTTGGAAGGTTAGATGCACATAGCTTAAACTTTGTAGGCATGATATTGTTTTCATGACTCAAATCTTTAACATGCATGTCACGATAAATTCACTTCACCTTTGCACAAGGACCCAATTTTTATTGCTCGTGATTTTTTTATTTTTATTTTTTGGGTTTTAAAATATAGTGTGATCTCATAACTCAACTGGTTAGAGCACAAGTAGGAGATCTTGTGTATGACTCCCAACAAGAGCCTACTTTATCATTCTTTTTGACATAACGATAAAATTATTCTATTATAATTGAGCGTCAAAAGTTAAAAGTAAACTTACATAAATTTTACCATTTTCAAATTACATAGCAGGAGTCTGTGATCGTAAAAAAAAAAAGAAATTCTGACTTATAGGTTCTTCTTCCAAAAAAAAAAATCTGAAACTTAAAAGTAAAAAATCAATGCAGATACTCAACTTCAATAACCTTTTAATGAAAAGCTACGTCCAGATACACAATAACAACAAAAGTACTTATGTTTTGCCTAGAAATAATACAATTTAGATTTAATTTAATAACCTAATTCATCGTGATCATTAAATTTGTAACAAGCCGGACCATATTGAGACCTATTGT